GGGGAAATACAGCTGTTGATTGTTAGCAGTTACACACTTCTTAGATATGTGATCGATTGAAGCTGCAGATATGATGTAAAGCAGGAGCGATGTAGAGGCAGGACTCACCACTCCTAGTTTCTCAGCTGCGTTGGCTTTCCACAGTCGGATATTCATTTCGTCGGAGCCGCTCAGGATGTATTTGTTGTCTGCCGACCACTTTATGCAGATGACATGCTGCATGCGTTTGGTGTGGTAGACTTCCCTAAACAGAAAAAAACAATAAGATATAAAAATAAGGCAATGCATTGCGTTTGTTTGCTGTTGGACAAACAGACAAAGCAAGCAGGTATACAAGATCAAGTGTTAGAATACACAGGATAGGCCTTTTTCAAAGCAGACATTTTGGCTCGTCATGTTGGTACTATTAACATGAACGATGGCTCCGCTCCATTAAAGCTACAGTTGGCAACTTTAATAAAAAATAACTTTGTCTTATTTGCTCAAGCTGTCCTTTTATCCCGACAGTAGCACATGACATGGATCATCTGTTAAAAACAGAGAAACTCTGCCTCCTCAGTGCTCCTCGTGGCATTTGCAGAGATTCAGTGTCTTCAAGTCTTTTCAACAGTCCACGCTCAAACTAAACGTCAAATGAAAACTTGTCTATTTGCTGCAACTTGAAAAACAATAAATGACTCAGAGTGTTAAGCTCCAATCATAAATATCTATAGAATAAAGTAAATAAACTTCATAGCTACCAACACCACTGTGACACCAAGAATACTTATACTGCTCACTCTACTGTGGTTCAGTCAGAAGAACAGAAATGGTGCTTGATTACGGACCAGTAATAAATCCCAGTAAACACGCACGGTAACGGTAATGTTTTCTTAACCTGGTGTTTGGGGTCATGCTAACCTGCTGTGGCCACCGTCCTTGGGGAAGATGCGGACGGTTTTATCAAAGCTGGCAGACACAAACTCCTTCCCAGTCGGAGAATAGTCAACATCCAGCACCGCAGAGACGTGGTCCATGTGCACTGTGATTGGCCGGTCCAGGTACCTCATGTCGTACGTGTAGAGGCTGACGAGACAAAGACACAAAATCAGCCCCGTTAGCCAAACTGCGTTTTAGTGGAAAGCGCACCAGTAAAATAATAACAATGGGACGGTGCATTAGAGCAGGACTTTACATTTGCACATTCCTTCAGCTGAAGCTGATTTAGTGCCAACATATGTAATAATCATGTGAATCACTGGAACAATATTCCACTCACTTGTAGTCTTCATTTGAACATGTGAAGTAATAGGCTTCCATAGGGTTCCAGCACAATGTGTTGCTCCTCATTGTCATGATAACCTGTGGATAGAAATCATAATGTAAAGAAATGGAGGAAGAGAAAGGTTCATTCTTGCAGCAACTGAATGGTCGACCCTACCTTTTTAAGTGGAGCCGATTCTCTCATGTCATACAGTACTATACTTCTGTCAGAGGCACAGCTTGCAAGGAGTTCAGTCTGTGGAAAGACATAAACCGATACACTTTAAAAGGATATCAGCAGGGTGGCTGATCTAAATAACTACAAAATAACCACTTTGATGGAGTTGGGACATGGACAAACGCTCAAGTGTTCTCCTGTGTCTCTGTGACGGGAGGCGGCCCGTCTGAGTGTGGCGGACGCATGGTGACTCACCTCCACAGGGTTGAAGCGGACAGCGCTGAAGCTGTCTACGCCCCAAGTGAAAGAGCGGATTGGGCTGCTCCTCTGCTCGTCCCAGATGTCCACCTGCTGGCCACATGTTGCGAACACAGCATCCTTCTGGTGGTGGTCTAGTCCGGTGAAGACGGTCTGCAAAGGACAAGAATCATTTGGAAACAATGGAAATGTGATATTTCACTGACCCTTTCATGCCATGGTCACCTAAAGACCATTTCATTATCACGATTAAACCACAACTGTCTTTGATAACAATACTAAAGAAAATGTTCCCACTGATCCCACCTTGCCCAGAATAGTGTTGAGTGGCTCCTCTTCCTCTCCGTAACCAGGCGCCTCCATTTTCCAATGCTTGATTGTTTTGTCGTCACCAACCTGTTACGTACCATGAAAGAAATACAGAAGCTGTATTAGTGGTCAGCTAATAAAAAAAAAGACCAACAACTCGGAACACTCTTCTCAGATGTTGAAGGGTAGCGGTCACCGTGAAGAAGGAGGTTCCACAGTAGCGGACGACCATTCCACGGACAAAACCTTCGTGTGCTTGAAGAGTGCGGACACATTCCCGTTTGGTCAGATTCCACACCTTCACCTAAGGATCGAATTAAACAATGAGTGCATAACACTTACAGTGTTGTGCGTACAGCATCACAGGTTCCAAGAGCGTAGTGTGGGATGTTACTGGCTGAGGTAATGTATTTAGACTTTGGCAGGTAGTTACCTCCCCATCGCAGGAGCCAGAGAGCAGGGTGGAGAGGCTCCTGGTGTGCTTGGCCATGCAGTTCACCCCGTCTCTGTGTCCATCCAGAGAGGCCAAGAAAGGCTTGGCAAACACCCTCTCGAGCTTGGTGGCATTCAGGGCCCGGGTGTACTCTCTGCTCACCTCAAACGGATGGAGCGTCGGGTCATAGTTTCTGGGGACTAACAACAGAGAGTAGTCACTTCTTAATGAACTGTAAAAGGACATTTTAGTTGGCTAAAAGATGATATTCGTGTGTTTCAATGTAAGCAATTTAGCTGAATAACAATACAGTAAATTGCATTCAACATGACATTCCATGGTCTTATTCATTTGGAGTAATTCAAACACACTTAAGTTACATATTATTGCTGCACACATGTTATAGCCTCATTCACAATTTCCATTCAGTGACCTTAAATAGCTGCTAGTCCGATGCTAATGGTATAGCTGTTAACTATAGTTGCGTGCACATGTTCGAAATGCATCCTATTTGCTATTTTATATCGAAGCTTGCAGACAACGACAGTTTCTACAAATATAGTTCGCATTATCTTTCATGCAACAATATCCAGATTTGTAGAATGACGAAATTCGACTAGCTTTATTATGATTGTGATGTTTGCTGAGAAAAACTGGCTAGCACTAGCACACTGTTTAGCCTATATGAGATTAAGGTTTACCACTCACCACGTTGAATATCTAGTTTGGTCTCCCGGACGTAATCATCCGGGTTCCTCGAGAGGACTTTAACCTTCATTTGGTATGAGAATGAAAATGGAAACACACTTAGAAATTGCCGTTAGCCTTAGGTTTAACAAGAAAAATATTAGCAAGCACAGGCCATGTGTTGATGAAGAGGAAATTCGTCTGACCGCGTTGCATTGTGGGATGTTCAGTCCTCCTGCCTGCGTCACTGAGAGCTATCATGGTGCAAAATTTAGCAGAGAAAGACCGGAAATACACAGATTTGGTCCTGAAACTGCTTCAAATTAACGGCATTGACCAGGTTACGAACAGACTTTTATATTGACTTCTACAACCTTGGTTCACTTTCATCAGGACCTTTATAAAAAGCACATTTACGTAACAACCTTTACATCTGAGTACGCTCAGTGCTACTTTTGTGTTGTATTAAAAATAAATCCCGAACTAAAGTCCCTATTATAGTTTATCGTTCTCCTAAATGGTTTTATTTTGAAGGTTGTGGCCGGAAGCACTACTCTAAATTATGACATATTGACATTTACAAAATACTAGCACCAAGGTCGAGCAGTGTTGCTGGCGCTGTACATTTTGGATAACGTTACCTCAGACATGGCGGGACACCGCATGTTAGAAACGTGGTTCACTTGCTAAATGCAGTGATAACAAGGATGTTATAGCGGTGTCAATGAGTTGTCGTCTGGGTTCTACAGAGGAATATTTTTTTAGACTTTGCGTTACAGGAACTAGCTAGATTAATTAACGTCACCGGTAAAACATGAGTTCCGCTCCTAATCACGGTACAGGCAACGTCACGGAGACGGGGTCCCCCAAGCCCGTTTCTGCTGTCTTCAGACACGTGAAGGTAGAAAACCTGGTCGCCGGGCTCAGTGGAGGAGTGGTGTCCACTCTGGTGCTTCACCCTCTGGATCTGGTCAAAATCAGGTTTGCAGGTAACGTCACAATACGACATTACACTTGCATTGTTGATGCTTGTCTCATGTAATAATGCCATCAGAGTCATTTGCAGTACTATACTTTCTTGTCAGTTAGCAGCTATATGGAGCATGAACCAATTGTTTATTTTCCTTGAATGGAACTAAATGTGCAGGCCATAAATCTGGTATATTAAAGTTGATTTGCTTAATGCCCGCAGTGCCATGCTGCAATGGCATTGTTGGTGTCTTATGTCCGATGACTTAAATGTTTTTGATGTGCTTTCAATTTAGTAAGCGATGGATTGCAATTAAGACCCAAGTACAGTGGCATGTTGCACTGTATGAAGAGTGTCTGGCAGCAGGAGGGACTCCGAGGACTCTACCAAGGAGTGACACCCAATATTTGGGGCGCCGGAGCATCTTGGGGTCTCTACTTCTTTTTGTACGTAATCTATAAACCTTTTGGATCATATCTTCCAACATTAATAATTCACATGAATTGTCTGACCTTTTTGAAAAAACTATGACGCATGTTTTTCCCCCCACCCTTACAGCTACAATGCAATCAAAGGGTACACTAAGGAGGGCCGTCAAACTGAACTGAGTGCCACAGAGCACCTGGTGTCCGCGGCCGAAGCAGGTTAGTCCCACATGTATCTGACCACCGCTGCCCCGCCGACACGCTCGCCCAATCAGCACACGGTCAACAACTACAGCCAGATAATGCTGCTCCGTGCCGGCCTTAGCAGACAGGAGGCAGATGCCAATTGGTACACAAGCCCTTCTGTTCATTTCGGTCACACACGGGGGTCACGTGGATCTGCTTCCTGCTGGTCAAATAATAATACGGTGCTCTATTGGGGTAAGATGGCAGAAGTCATCCATAGTTTAAGGGGAGGAGTGCTTTGCGATGTGACACATGATAGTGTAAAAGTAACCCCTTTTGTTAAAAGGGGTTTTGACTGTGGCTATGAAGTAGACAACAACAATGATAGATTCATTTTGGCCTTCAGATTGTGCTCAGATGGTATTTAGGAAATCAATGTGCGAGTCAGGCATGATCAAAAGTCATGACATCGATGTTAAAATGTGACCGTGCACTCACCATGCTACAACAGATATAAAGAGGCATTGGAACAAAACACCATTTAATGCTTATCATCCTGTGCTCTGGGACCTCTAGTCTCTGCAGAAACAGAAGGGCAGTTTTGTTTGGCACCAACTACCACATCACATTCAATTAACTTCACTTAGGTCACGTCTCTTTCTGTTGAGGAGAGCCGCTTGATCCCGTCTTGCAAGGGTGTAGATTTTGAGTTGCAGCCAAATGTCGTCAACTTCATTTCCAACACTGCCTGCTTGTCCTCACCTAGGCATCCTGACGCTCACCCTAACCAACCCCATCTGGGTGACCAAGACCCGGCTGGTCCTCCAGTATGACGCCGACCCGACCGGTAAACAGTACAAGGGGATGATTGATGCCCTGGTCAAGATCTACCGCCACGAGGGAGTGCCGGGACTGTACAAGGTGTCATGATCAGTGTATCTCTGTACCTATTTAGTTGACCTTTATCCCATTATTATTTTTAATTGATTCATTAACCACCACTAGAGGGCACCAACAGCCTACATTAGCTTTAGTAGAGAAGCTCCATGTGATTTCTATTTGCCTGGAAGGATAATTGTAACCAAATTACTCAGTGGAAATTTGACAGTATCTTTTAAATCTGCAGAGAGCCACAGATGTAGACAACGTGGTGGACTTTTCTAGCAAATGCATGCCATGGGTCTATTTGTGCGTCATGAAAGGTCGCCTTACAAAGCATGTACTCGTCTTAGGGTTATGTTCCCGGTCTGTTCGGCACGTCTCACGGAGCGCTGCAGTTCATGGCCTACGAAGAGCTCAAGAGAGACTACAACAAATACAAGAAAGTGCCTTCAGATGCGAAGCTGGTGAGTCGTCAACCCCACGAGCCACAACCCGTCTGGCAACATGCTCTGTGTTTTTTTAAAATAAAAGTCAGGCAACAAAGCTTGTAACGTTTTTCAGTGTAATAAGGCTGAGCCCACAGCGGATAACCAGCAGTGACTCATCGGTTTTTCCTACCCTGCTCACTTGTCTCTCCATCTGTTTGTCCGTGCAAACAGAGCTCATTGGAATACATCACAATGGCAGCGGTATCCAAAATATTTGCCGTGGTCACAACGTACCCGTATCAGGTGGTGCGAGCTCGTCTGCAAGACCAGCACAATAGATACAATGGAGTTATTGATGTCATCAGACGGACATGGAGGTAGGACACTGATCCGCTGCTAAAAGGGGGCCAAACACACCATCCTACTCAGTTTCCAAATGTGGCTGTTAAGTCACGTCCAATTAGAGCCGTGGTCATGTTTTTTCTCTCTCTCTCTCTCTCTCTCTCTCTCTCTCTCTCTCTCTCTCTCTCTCTCTCTCTCTCTCTCTCTCTCTCTCTCTCTCTCTCTCTCTCTCTCTCTCTCTCTCTCTGCAGGAACGAAGGCGCCGCCGGTTTCTACAAAGGGATCATCCCCAATGTGATCCGGGTGACTCCCGCCTGCTGCATCACGTTTGTAGTTTATGAGAATGTGTCTCACTACCTCCTGGGACAAAATCAGTGAGGCCTAAAAGCGCAGCGCGGACAGCTTGCGAAGACTCTGAGCTCACACTGACGCTTTGGTGGCATTCAGAGAAACTCTCGGTGCAGTGTACATGTAAAGGTGCAGATGCGAGAAGCATTTGTTTGCACTGGGAACAACTGGACAATAGTTGCCAAAACTGAGCAACTAAACGCCAAAGGACGTGCAGCCTTTTGTCATAATTATGTTTACATTTGATGTTTTCTGGCAGCAGAAAGGGGAACACACTTATGAAAAGCTGATTATTAACAGCAAAATTGTAGATCTCAGGGTTCCAGTTGCACGTGTGTGTCGTATGAGTTTCTCTTTAAAATTATTGCTTTATGTGAACATACAACAGCAATTTGGGATTATTTTTGTTTATCCCCATAATTCCTTTATTACCTGGCTACAAATTGTAACTGCTTTTGTTATAAACCCCAAACTGCTTTGTCTGCATTGTTGTGTTGGATTTATACATTGAATGTATAACTTTGTGGCTACACTGAATTTAGCGCAGTGTATTTCAAAGCTCCTAAACATCACAAGTAGTTAGAAAGTTAGAGTTAAATTCTTAATAGAAAAAAAAAAAAAGACTTTATTAACAGTAATAACAAATATAAACATGGCACATGAGTACATAGTTTAAATATTGTCAATGTCTTGTCACAATGTCTGTTAAATGGTTACTGTGCACCAGCAGCAGCACCCATAAGCAGAAGAGGTACAGTACAAAGGTTATTCCTGGTAGACAGAATGACACAGTATTCTTGTTTATAGGCCTGTCAACTAGTATTTAAAAAGAAAACATTCAAGTTCCCATCAGTGATGCTGTGACGCCTCAGCAAACCGTACCTGATCGTTTTGGAGGGCCAAATAACATACTGCCACACTACCAGGACCGGCCCCTCCCTTACATGTAACTTATTTTTATTTTATTTTGGCAGTTCCTCAATGATAACCCTGGATACTGAATTCCACCCTGTAGAAGCGTCACCTCTGGGATAGTCGGCACAGGTCCCGACCCACACGGCCACGTCCACCAACCCTGCTTTCACTCCCTCACACAGCCCTTCAACTGCAGAGAGGGGGAGGGGGGGAAATAAGACAGTACAAATTAATTTCAGGGAACAACCCAAACTTATTTTCTGACACAGTGATGAACTTGCCAAATTGGAAGAGTGTAACTTTAATGAAAAGACTTGTTTCCCAGCATCCACAGCAGTTAAATGAGCACTTACAGGAATAGCTCAACATTTTTTGGGAAATGTGCTAAGTGAGCCTTCTGCCGGTTAGCTTAGCACAAAGAGGTGACAGTTAGCTTAGCTCCAAAATAATACAAATTTAATATTTTTCATAGTCTCTAGCCTTGTCCGTGGTCAAAGGTAACGAAAGCTTGGAGCAGTAACTTCCTGAAGGCGCCTGGTGAAGTTAAGTGCTGCTGGCTAAGAAATAGTGCAGCACATAACCGCCTGTAAACCGCAACTTAACATTTTTACAATCAAGTTTTTTAAACAACTAAACAAACTAGATATAACTTGTTACATTCTGTTGGGCGGATTTTGTCACATTTGGATGGAGCCACGCTATCTGTTTCCCCCTGTATGCTAAGCTAACTGGCTGTAGCTAAAGCTCATCCAGCTAACGTCTCACTCTTGTATTTCCCAAATGTTGAACTGTTGCTTTAAGCTGAAGCATTGTATAGCAGTGGAAAACACTGTTGTTGGTTTAGGTTCATTGCACAATGACTTGAGTCGTACCCGAGGACGTTCTGTGGATGTTGATGGTTGAGTTGAGCTCAGGACTTCCTTGGTCTAAGTAGATGATGGACTCTATGGGGAGGGGTCCGGCGCACTCCGCCCCATTGAAGGTGAAGTACCACCTCTGGCAGCATGCGTTCTTACACTTGAGTCTGAGGGAGCCACTGAAGAGGACCCTGAGGGTGCTGTCCGTACGCAGCTTGGTGAACGTACAGTCCTGCAACGCAGCACAGGGGAGTTAAAGCTCTTTGATGCATTGTGGTGGTTGTATAAGATTTCTGTGAAATTATTGGAACCCACGTTCCCCAGAAACGTGTCAGTCGCGGTGCCATCATACTTACAGCCACTTTACCCAGGTCGATGCCATAATTCAGAGAGTTCCAGGCACACTGCTTGTAGTTGGGCCTCCAGGCCTCCTCGAAGATCTCGTTGATGCACTCGCCTTTCTCACCTTTGTTCCCGTCCCGGCCAGGGATGCCCGGCGTCCCCGGGATGCCATTGGTTCCGGGGTTGCCCTCTCTGCCGGCAGTGCCTGCTGGCCCCTGTATGCAACTGCCATACTGTTAAAAAAAAAAAAATGGGAAAGAGGAAGTGGTGATGAAGGCATGCAACAACATCAGTAGGCTATTGTTATCTAGATTCCTGTTTCAGATTTGATTTTTTTCCTCCCTGTGGGGGGGGGGGGTGGGTCCCTGTTTTGGCCTGCATGCACCTTAACGCTGCCATTCATCCAACCATCACACACAAGAAGTCAGATTCCATGAGGAACTGAAGGCCCGGTGACAGCCTGAATTAGTATGTGTTCGGCCACACATCTAACGCTGTGATTCATTGTCCAGCCGAGTCTCCTGCTATGTTTAAACTGATACTGCATCTTACTCGAGCTGACTCACACACACACACACACACACACACACACACAGAGAGAGAGAGAAGGGGGGAGCTTGCCAAAGCTGCCCCACCACATACAAGACAGACACAATGACGATCCAAATAGCTTTGCGTAATGTGTTCCTCAATGAGACATTTCCACCAACAGATTACAGTGCGTGGGTCAGCTTTTGAGGCCTTTTTTTAGGTTGGGTTTTAATTTCGGTTATGTGATCTGTAAGCGTCCTTCCGCTGCATTCATTCAGTCGGGGCTCAGACACAAACTGACACGTAGAAGTACGTCTTCTCCCTTCAGCAATACGCTGATGCCAAAAGGATTCGGGTCTGGGTTTTTTTTTTTGTTGGGTCATTGCTGCCCTTTTTGCTCAGCATGCAGCTGTGGAGCAGTTTTAGAGGCACATGGCTAAAAGGCAGGAGAGGAGAACAAAGTTTTTTTTACACCAGTTTCAACATCTGGACTTGAGAAAAGGGCTTTTAACATAGGGAGGATTACGACAGTCTAATGTCAGCTGCTGCGAAACAGATGCTCGCGTCTGCGTTAGCCATTAGCGTGCGGCTATGCCGGAGCAACCTGGAGATGTGAGGTCTGACGTCATCTCTGTGGGGAAACTGGGGAGCCTGTGATGGGACCAACGGATCGTGGTTTGGCATGCATGTGCTGTAATAGACCTGGAAATTGTCCTCAAGGGAAAGGGACAAAAGTTCCAAGCACCTTGGCTGAAATGTGGAAAGGCAGAGCCCATCTGGTTGATAGTCAGCGAGGCAACGTCTCAGCGTTTTATTAAGGGTTGGGTTTTTGGAGACATTTCAAAGCAGACTAATGAATGAAACCTCTGTCTTTATTTTTTGCAACACAGCTGACTTTTATATTAACTTCCAGTCTGCTGTTTCTGTAGTGGTGCCGTCTGCCTACATGAATTACACAGTCGGCCTCTACTGAATATTAGCTCACACAGTCTAGTACTGTAACTGAAGCATAAAGGCTGCATTTGCTGCAAGAAAGTGCTGAGGAATCAGTATTATTTCATGCATTAGTCAACACCGAAGCACAGGCCGAGGCTCTCCCGGAGCATGCACAGCGAGGATATGATGCTTGGCTTTGGGACTTTCTTTTTCTTTTAGATTCGCAGGGTCTCGAGAGGATGCAAAACAGGATTTTATGATTACCGTGTTGTTCAAATGAGCAGATCTTCCTTCTCCAGAGTGTCTAGTGCAGTTGGGCTTGTCTGCGTCATTCCCAGTGCACTAGATATACAAATGGTAACATAAGGTGCTATTCATTAAATCCTTCTGCTGTGGTGGTCTCTCAACTGTGGAATATGACTTTGGAGGCTAATGGAGAACAAACTGTTGTGGTTCTCAAAGTGGGGTATGCAGACTTCTAGGAGTCCCCAAGGGAGGGGAGGGGGGGGGGGGTCCACACTGAGTACCAACAAAATAAACACTAGTTTCACTTTCATTTGACTCCCCAGAGATTGAGGAGAGAAATGAGTGTCCACTTTGTTCCTTCACTCTCCACCTTCAGCAAAGCAAGGAGGGTTATGTGATTCTAGACAAAGATACCCTAAGACAGACAGACAGACAGACAGACATATATAATTTCAGAATTTCCTCTCAAAACCAAAGCCGTTTTTAAACTAGTAAGAAAGCCAGATAGATAACAGAGACAGACGGACAGTATGAGCCAGACCCCAACTTCCTGTTGGGGATTTTTCTCTCTGTCCTCAGTCTGCTGGAGAGCAGCCAGACCTGGAATAACAGAGAACCAGCTGACCAAACAAAAGATAGAAAACAGCATTTCTCATCTGCTGCGGGGACCAGGTAATTTAGGAGACCATTGTTTTTTGCCAAAGCTGTGACCACACTCATAGCACTGTAAGCATGCATACATCAGCAGATTGCATTTCCTATGCTTTTTTGTGTGAAATCAGTCGTTTAAAGAAGTGATCTCAGGCTGATGTTTCAGGAACGTCACACGCAAAAGTGCCTCATCAATGTTAACATAGATGCAATAAAAATACATTAAATCGCGATGAATGGAAATAAATCCACTTGAGTATAATTACTATAATTTCACATGAGCCCATTTTTGATGATTTACCGTTAAGAGAAAACCACAAAATCTCTCCAAAACGCATAAGTCTCTCGTAGAGCGACACGTGTCTTAACATTTGTTTGGGGGTAATGATCATAGATCTTACCTTGTCGGCGTCAGGATCCTTTCGGTATCCTCTATTTCTCACCTTTTCCACGCCATAAAGAGGTAAAGCCAAGCAGACAAGCAGCAGCAGGCGGGCAATGAGAGGAGACATCGTGTATAGACGGCTGTGTGCGCGCGCGCTCTGGAGGGATGTGAGGCGACGGGTTGATTCCAACTCCAGACAGCTCTAGTCCAGAGGAGGGCAGGACGAGGAGGGAAGGAGCCAGTCTGATACGTTCCCTGATGGAAAAAAAGTCTCACAACATCCCTACGATAAACACATGTGCTATATAAGCCTATACCAGTGTAGCCTACATGTTGAGTTAATGTGATCAGATTTGTCTGCAAAGATACAAGTGGTGTTTCATCTACCTGAAATAACAGTTACTGACTCACACATATTCTTTATTTCTTTATATTTTATTAAAATTAAATTGGATCGATACAAAATTCAGCTGACAAGATAGGCTACATAAAAATAAAAAAATAAAAACAGTAAAAAGGGCTGACAAAAGTTGTATAGAGCATTTCATAGACTACACTATACGACCCCTGTCCACATGCTGGAATAAGAATATACAGCTACAACAGGAAAGGACTGACGAGGACTCCCTTTTAATTGGCGTTAATGGAGTTGTCTTCCAAATATAAAAAGGCACTGAGCCTCAAAGGAAGAATCATTCCCATACACAGCAAAACAGACATTACAGCATGACGGATAAATCGCGGAAGGTGTTCTGGAAGCACTTGAAGGAGAGATTATGGTCCGTGACCACATGTTAGGAATAACCTGAACAAAGCCCCAAGTTCTCTCTTTCCTCTTTGTTTATAACTATTCTTTACTTATTAGTGGTTTGTGCTTCTTTCACAAATAGTGCAAAGCATGTTTGATTTGTTTCCTCAATTGGATTTCTAAATCATATGAATGTACACACACACACACACACACGTACACACACACACACACACACACACACACACACACACACACACACACA